TGGCCTCTCCTGCTGCGGAGCACAGGCTCCGGACGCGCAGGCTCAGCGGCCATGGCTCACGGGCCCAGCCGCTCCGCGGCATGCGGGCTCTTCCCGGACCGGGGCATGAACCCGTGTCCCCTGCATCGGCAGGCGGACCCTCAACCACTGCGCCACCAGGGAAGCCCTACTTTCCCCATTTTAAAGATGGGGAGGGGCTTCCCTGGTGGCGCAGCGGATCTGCCTGCCAGTGCAGGGGATGTGGGTTCGAGCCCTGGTCCGGGAAGATCTCACTTGCTGCGGAGCAACTAGGGCCGTGCACCACAACTACTGAGCCTTCACTCTAGAGCCCGAGAGGCACAACTACTGAGTCCGCGTGCCACAACTACTGAAGCCCGTGTGCCTAGAGCCCATGCTCCGCCACAAGAGAAGCCACCGCAATGAGAAGCCTGAGCACTGCTACGAAGAGTAGTCCCCGCTCGCCACAACTAGAGAAAGCCCGCGTGCAGCAACGAAGACCCAACGCAGCTAAAAATAAATAAAATAAAAATAAATTAATTAAAAAAAAAAAAAAGATGGGGGGAGACCAAGGCACAGAATGGTGAAGAAACCTGCTTAAGGGCACACACAGCTAGCAAGAGGACTAGACAGAGCTCAAACACAGGCAGTCTGGCTCCGGGGTCCATGTGCAGCTCTGTGCTAGGCTGCTTTCCAGCACAGTCGCAGCAGCCCTGGGATCCCTACCATTGTCCCTGTTTTGCAACTCAGGACACTGGCTCATAGAGGCTAAGTGACTTGCTCAGCGTCACACAGCTGGGATTCAAACCCAGGTCAGGAACATAATCTGGTATGCAAGAGGCACTCAGTAATGAATGAGGGAATGAGTTATAACTCCATAACCCAGGCTTTTAGCCACTGTGACTTTGAAAGGATCATTTCTCCCTTACCTCCGGCCTGACCCTCTAAGCTTCATCCCTATGTGGAAAGGACTTGGCCCTGGACTTCCTGTGCTGTGTGAACCTGGACTGGCTCCCACCCTCTCTGATGATGTAAGTAATATGGTTTTAGTCCACATTAATTGTGAGTTCAATGTGCCAACCCCAGCATTAAGTGCTTTGCCACACAACACCCTAGGAGGTAGGGACGTTATGATCCTTTTCTCCAGATGAGGAATGGGAGGCTCGGAGAGGGATAGTCACTAACCTGAGATCACACAGCGAGTAAATGATGAAGCCAGGTGTGCCTCACTCTCGACCTTCCCCTGCTCTGCTATGCATCACAGGGGGCCGGGCCCTTTGAAAACTACATTTCCCAGGCTCCCTTTCCTGCTGTTTCCCGTTGGAGTCTGCCAATGGGAAGCACTGATGGGAGATTGACAGGTGGGCGAGTGGAGGGGAGAAGTCAGGGCATTTCATCCTCTCTCTTTCTGCTTCCAGTATTGCCTTGGTGGTGGCTGTGTCTCTTTTGTGTTTCGAGCTCCCACAAGGTAGCCCCTAACCCTGTGATTCCTAAATCCCATCAGGGAGCTCTGGCTGTGGGCTCTGGTAACACCACTTCCTGCCTCTGTCCTTCAGGCCTGGGGGTGGAAGTGACATAATGCTACTGCTAATTGTCTCACTGCTCCCAGCTGTTCCTTCAGTTTCCCCTACACCTTTGTAGTAATCTCCCTGTATTAAGTTCCCTCTGTTGAAGGACCTGGCAGGGACTCCATTTCCTGTCCGGAAACACTGAGGTTCTGTGGTTGGGCTAAATTGCTGTTACCTTTCCTGTTCTTCAGCTTCCTTAGGGGAACAGGGAAGGGACGTGAGATTAAGGGATGGGGATCCCACACGTGTGCACATGCATGTACAGACTCACTCTTCATCGTCTTCACAGCCACCTTGAGGATGGAGTCATCCTGGTTGAGCTGGCCTTCCATCACAGCTCCAAACTCTCCTGTGGGGGACCAGAAAGAGATGCTGACCTCAGGGGGGCGCTGTAGGGACTGCATTTCCTGTGGTTGGGCGGGGGTGGGGAGGACTTCATGGTTCAGGGAGGTGTGTGTGTGTGTGTGTGTGTGTGTGTTATGGGGGGACTCACCTTCTCCCAGGGTCTTCCCCAGGGCCACCTTATGCCGGTCCACCATCACATCGCGCAGCCTCTCCTTCAGCTCTTCACTGATGCCCAGGCTGTTCACTGCATGGGAGGTAGGGGTAGACAGAGCCATGGAGCAGGGCTGACATCCAGACGACACTCGCCAATAGGGATACAGGCGTGCTCATTTTATTGCGCTTTGCTTTATTGCACTTTGCAGATATTGTGTTTTTTACACATTGAAGACCCGTGGCAACCTTGTGTCGAGCGAGTCTATCGGCGCCATTTTCCCAATAGCATTTGCTTGCTTCGTGTCTCCGTGTCACATTTTGGTAATTCTGGCAATATTTCAAAACTTTTCATTATTTTTATATTTGTTATGATGACCTGTGATCAGTGATCTTTGATGTTGCTACTACAATTCACTGAAGGCTCAGATGGTGGTTGGCATTTTTCAGGAATAAAGCAATTTAAAATTAAGGTATGTACATTGTTTTTAAAGATATAATGCTATTGCACACTTAGTAGACTGTAGTATAGTGTAAACATTACTTTTATATGCACTGGGAAACCCCAAAATGCGTGTGACTCACTTTATTGCGTCAGTTGCTTTATCGTGTGGTCTGGAATCAACCCCACCATATCTCTGAGGTATGCCTGTATACCCATTGTTAAAATGCTGAAACACTTCTGCATTCATTCAAAATTAGCTAATGCCCAGAGCACCCCCCAGCCCCACCCTAGCTTCTCCTCTAAACCCCCTGAATCTTCCCCCAGAGCAGCAACTAAAGGGTTAGAGCCTGGCACATAATCTTGCACTAGTGGGCACCCTGATTGGTTAGCGTCCTGCCGTACCAGTTGTTAAAAATATTTCTTAACTGTTTATTGAAGTATAAACTGCAAAAATCATAAGTGAGCAGCTCAGTGGATTTTCACAAACCGAACACAACAGTGTAACTAGCACTCAGGTCAAGAACAGACCATGACCTGCCCTCTCAGGGGAGTCCACTTCCCTGACTTTTCCTACCCCAGATTAGTCTTTTCTGTTTTGGGATGTTATAAACATGGAATCACATAATATGTTCTCTTTTGTGTCTGGCTTCTTTCACTCAACACAATGTCTATGAGATCATTGTAATGTAGTTGTCGTGTGTAGTCAGATTTATTATTTTCACTGCTGTGTAGCAATCGTTTTCCAACTTATTGGCCTCAGGACCCCTTCACATTCTTAAAATTACTGAGGCCTGAAAAGAGCTTTCTTTTATGTGGGTCATCTATACACCAGTATTTATTGCGTTCAAAATGAAAACGGGAAGATTTTCTTTTTCTCTTTTTTTTTTTTTTTTGGCCTCGTGGCACAGCATACAGGATCTTAGTTCCCCGTCCAGGAATCAAACCCGCGCCCCCTGCAGTGGAAGCACGGAGTCTTAACCACTGGACCGCCACTGCCAGGGAAGTCCCACGGGTAGATTTCCAAAACACAAGGATACATAAGCACATGTTCAATCAATCAACAGAACGATGACATCATCACATATTAGGAAGCCTCTGGAAAACTCCGTGGAGTGCTTGCGAGAGAATGAGAGTGCCAAAGGGCAAAAGATGTCTTGGTGTTAATATGAAAATAATTTTGACCTCGTGGACCTCCTGCGAAGGTCTCGGGGACTCGCGGGGACTCAGGTCACACTTCGAGAACTGCTGCTGCACGTTATTCCATTAGATTGCTGTGACCCCGTCACTTCCTCTTCCTTCTCCTTTTCAATAAATGTCTTTCCCAGCCCCTTCCGGTGTCTCCCTGGGGCCCTGGCAGTCTTCTCACTGTGTGCTAGGAAGATACCTAACTCTGTCCCTTTTCTTTCTGGATCTGTTTCCCCAAATGGAGAGATTAAGAGATTGGACTGGATGGCCTCTGAGGTCCCTCCTTAGCTGGGACCCTCCATAACGCTACAATCCTCTGAGTGTCTATAGTTCTAAGATTCTATGATTTTTAAGATCCTAAGGGTCTATAGCCCTGGATTATAATTCTTTAGGCCAAGATCTATTCTACCTCTCTCACATTCTTTAATTCCAAGAGGCAGGTAAGAGGATGGACTTGAGAGCAAAACTGCCTGGGTTTGAATCCCAACTCTCCAGCTTACAAGCTGTGTGGCCTCCAGCAAGTTACTTAACCTCTCTATGCTGCAGCCTTCTCATGTTTGAAGTGGGGCGGGAGGATAACGTACCTAACTCATTGGGTTGTTGTGAGGATTAAATTAAGGGACATGTGTAGAGCACGTAGAACAGCACCTGTCACAGAGGAGGTGCTAGGGTTGGCTGTTATCATCAGCATCATAATCATCTCATCAGCAGCATCTTCATTGTCATCATCATCATCTCTATCATTATCATCATTATTACATTGTTCTAAGATCCTATGGCTCTAAGCTTGGTCTTTCTAAGATTTACTATGTCTAAGATTCAATTATTCTAAGGTTGTGTGTGGTTCCACAATTCTGTTGCTCTTAGGGTCTGTGGTTCCAACATCCTAGTATTCCAAGGCCTTCAGAAACTTTTGGTTCATGCATCTGCAGAAGCCCAGCAGGCCCAAAGCTCTATACTTCTTATCCCAAACCCAGGCAGGGAGGCATGGGGTTCACTTACAGGTGGCTTCAGTGGTCCGACGGCTGTAGGACTTGCGAACGCGGTACCTGACCACCAGCTCGCCCCTCTCCATTGTTGGTTCGAACACCTCTCTGGGGGGAATAGAGAGGAGATGAGGGCAGGGCAGAACAATGTGGAACCCCCTCCTTCCACCAACAGTGAAAGCGAGCGCCATCCCCACCCCCAGGCCTGCCCGCCCTTTCCTCCAGTGTTTGCTGAGCATGTCTTGGACGGCTACCTTCTGCCTTCCATTCACTCCCCAGAGACTTGCCCTCATTCTGATTCTTGGTAACCTCTCCTCTTGCACCAGCCTCCTCATGGTCTCCCCACGTCCGGCCCCTCCATCCCAGTCCATGTTGGCCTTCCGACCCATGTGGCTCCAACTCACCCATAGCGGGTCTCTTTCTTCCGCCGGTGGACGAGGAACAGGGCCAGGATGAGGACACAGGCAGCAGCCACCACTGCTCCCAGCAGTACATACCACCAGGGCCATGAGAAGGCAGGGACTGGGGGTTCACTCACTGTCAGGGGGTACGCAGGACAGGTCATGGTTGAGGTCTTGGTTCCAGCTCCCTGAGCCCCAAGGGGGTGATGTTGAAAGGAGGCAGGTGTGGATATATTTGATGAGGCATGTGACAGGTGCGTTCCCCTATCTGGGGAGACTGGGCTGGGCTGGACAGGGCATGCAGTGGATACGATAGATAGGAGTGGATGTTAAAGGAAGAGTGTGAAACTTATAGGATGACTACGGTAAGTTAAGAGTGGGATGGATAGGGACTTCCCTGGTGGCGCAGTGGATAAGACTCCACGCTCCCAATGCAGGGTGCCCGGGTTCGATCCCTGGTCAGGGAACTAGATCCCACATGCATGCCACAACTAAGAGAGTCCACGTGCTGCAACTAAAAAGCCCACACGCCTCAACTAAAGATCCCGCATGCGGCAACTAAGACCTGGCACGGCCAAGATAAAAAAATAAATAATAATAAATAAATAGATATTAACAAAAAGAATGGGATGGGCCCTGGGGGATTGTGTGATGTGCGTGGAAGGAGTGTGGGATGGGAGTGAGAGGCCTGTTGCAAGGTGGGCTGTGCAATGTAAAGTGAGCACGGGATGGTTGTGAGGAAGTCTCAAGTGGTGTATGGGTGTGTGATATGTGTGATGATCGTGCAAGGAGGGGGGGCTTGGGTGTGGAAAACAGATGAGTAGGGAGAGAACGCATACAGTGTAGGACAGGTGCATGAGGCATGTGCAATGAATATGCAAGGAGTTTGAGGCTCCAGGGACCAATGGCCAAGGAATATTTTTGAGGAGGAGTGTGTGATGGCTATGGACGGGTTTTATTTTTATTTTTATTTTTGGCCACCCTGAGCCTTCTGAGATCTTAGTTTCCCGACCAAGGATCGAACCCAGGCCCTTGGGAGTGAAAGCGCCGAGTCTTAACCACTGGACCGCCAGGGAATTCCCTGGAGGGGTTTTCGTAAAGCAAGGGATGAGAGTAAAATAAATGTATAAAGGGGCATAGTGTGCAAAGGAGTGTGTAAAGAGTGTCAGATAAGTACTGGAGGAACTGGGATATGTGAGGATTCAGGGAGTATTCAAGGAGTTTTAGATACAAGGAGGAGCAGTATTCGTAAGGATGTAACTTTGGTGTGAGGGGAGTGTGCAACAAGTGCGCAAAGGACATGGGAAGGGAAGATGAGAAGCACGGCATGAATGGAAAGGCTGTGCAAAAAGGTGGGAGTGAGGGCTTCCCTGGTGGCGCAGTGCTTGAGAGTCCGCCTGCCGATGCAGGAGACGCGGGTTCGTGCCCCGTTTCGGGAAGATCCCACATGCCGCGGAGCGGCTGGGCCCGTGAGCCATGGCCACTGAGCCTGCGCGTCCGGAGCCTGTGCTCCGCAAATGGGAGAGGCCACAACAGGGAGAGGCCCGCATAACGCAAGAAAAAAAAAAAAAAAAAAAAAAAAAAGGTGGGAGTGAGTGTGTAATGAATGGAGGATGGGTATGTGCTGAGTGTACCAGGAGTTTGGTGTGGGTGTGTGCAGAAAGCGGGCATGGGTTAGGATCGGCTTGGGGTGAGGGAATAATGCGTAAGGAGTGTCGAATGAGTGTGCAAGGAGAGCTGCAGAATGTGGGATTGTGTGGACTGAAAGTTTTACAGTGCTTGCAATGTTGGAGGTATGGTGAGTGTGTAAAAAGTATGCAGAGTGTGTGAATGAGAAGTGTGGGTGTGCATTGGGTTTGGGAGGCACGTGTGAGGAATGAAGGGTTATAATGGGATGAACGCGAAAGGAGGGTGGGATTAGTGTGGAAAGGTATGCAAAGAAATGCAGGAAGGCATGTAAGGATTGTGGGCTGAGTTACAGGAGGGGCTGTCATAGTGCTAGGAAGGTACAATGGGTGTAGGAGGAATGTTTGAGTATTGTTGGAGAAATATTTGAGAAGGATGGATATGAGGGGGATAACTCACCTGTCTGTTCATTTATCAATCCATCCACCCACCCACCTACTAATTGATTCATCTACCCAACTACCCATCCATCCATCCATCCATCCACCACCCACCCACCAATTCATTCATTCATCCATCGACACATTCACTGATCCACCATTCCATCCATCCATCCATCCATCCACCATTCACTGAGTATGCTACAATGCACTGGGTCATTCCAGCCACCTCCATCAAGGACCACACAAACCCAAGAAGTAGGGGATTAGAGTGATGAATTTGAGAAATATGAAAGGGATGTGCAAAGAGTATGTGTGGTGATGGGGTCCTCACTGGGCAATGAGGGAAGGGAGAGAGAAGAGGCAGATGCGAAAGTCCTCACCCAGCTGGTGGATTGGCTGTCCTTGTCCTGTGAGGAGAAAGGACACAGGGAGGACATGCTCAGAGAGGGCAAGACTGGTGAGACACAGGTGAGGGAGTGAGGCTCTCAGTAAGGTTCCAGGTAGGAACAGAGCCTAGACTGGGGTAATGCTCAAAGGTACAGCAAGCAAGTCATGGGCATCTGGGAGAGACGAGGTCCCTGTGGGCAGGTTGAAGGGGGCTGAGCACGGCTTTGGAGTTACCTGGGCGCCAGAGTACCAGGGGCACAGGGACACTCCAGGGTCCATCCCCAGCGGCGGTGTAGGCTGCCACGCACACCGTCAGGTTGGGCACAGACCTGTCTCCCCGCAGCTCCAAGGTCACTTCTCGCCTTAGCCCTACGTCCATTAGCACCTAGGACGTGCAGACGTGGCATCAGAGTAGAGCTCCAGCCCCTAACGCTTAAGCCTTCACCCTCAGCCTCAACTCCCCATCTTTCTGAAAGCCCTCTCCTCTCTCCTCATCTGCAGTCCCTCATCCCCTACCTCTTCCTACCCTTCATGTCTCATCCCCCATCCCGTCCTCTCCTTTCCATTCTCCATCTCTACACCCACTAAAATAACAGCTCCACCAGGACTGGGACTTTGTCTCATTCACTCCCACGTCTTCAAGTCCTAGCATGATGTGTGGAACACAGTACTTTTGTTGAAGAACTGAATTCTCATCTTTTCACCCTCATCGCTCCATCCCCTTCTAACTCCCCACCTTCTCTCCCACCCCATCTCTCCTCCCCAGGGGGCTGCTTGCTCAGAGAGTACCTTTGTGCCAATTAGGAAGAGGCACCCCTTCCTCAAGATGTTATGCCACTGTCTGCTGTAAAACTGTCCTGGTAAATATAGGTCTACTGAAACGCTTTGTACGTGATTCATAAATGGCCATCCCTAACCCTTTCCTGGGCCCCTTTAACCGTCCCACAATGTGCCCTCCCGGCACAGTGTGATGGCGTCCTACCCAACCTGCTCAACTGTCCATGTCTGCCCTGTCGTCTTCTCCCCACCACTCCTCCCTCCTTCGCAGCCACTCCGCCCCAACCTAGCCAGCAGCACCCACCTCGGGGGTATCCTGACCTCGATAGGCCAGTCGGTACCCTAATAGGGTGCCCTGCAGGGGTGCCCTTGGTTCCTGCCAATGCACGAGGGCCTGGCTCCCATTCCGCATGGCGCTAACGTTCTCAGGAGGGCCCAGGGGCACTGGAGGACAGGGAAGAGGGGAAGCTGGCATCCCCACCTCTTCCTGACCCCCACCCCTGTTCCCAGGAAGTAGGGGCAGAGTACAGAGGGCGTGCACGTGGGCAACTCGTGCAGGCCTCCCATGAGCAGAAGCACGGGGGAGAGATGCCAGTGTGCCATGCTGAGGAGTCGGGGACCAGGCAGGAAGGAGATTGAAGCCACATGGTTAAATGGGCGAAAGGAGATGCCGGGGATCATACTGATGTACGCAAGGGTCAGTGGGGCAGTGAGTGACGTCTCCTGGCCACCAGCCCCTTCTTACCTCCCTCCGGTGTCTCCACAGGAAGCCAGTGGGTCCAGGGTGAGGGGCCCTGGCTACTGACACACGCCACCCGGATGTGGTAAGGGGTGTGAGGATGGAGGTTGCCCAGCCGCAGTTGGTGAGGCGGAACAGATGCTTGTAAGGTGAGGGGTTCCTCTGGGGGGTCTGGCTCTCCCAGCCAGGTGCCCACCCCATCGTCTGACAGCACAGCCTGGGGAGAGAGGGACGCGTGAGGACAGGGTGGCCACGCAATCACTGGAGGTGCTCACACAACTCTCAGTGGTGGTGATCCTGCTGTGACGACACAGTTTTGCAAGGATGTGTGTGTGTGTCACAACTCCATGTCAGTGCAACATGGGCACCTGAGTTTGCAAAGTGAGGAGACCACCCAGCTGCACAATGTGGCTTTGCCATCACTTGCAAATGCCACTTCCGACAAGACTTTCCCTCTCTGAGCCTCAGTTTCCTCATCTGGAAGATGGGGGCTTAGAGGAGCAAATGCCTTCCAGGGATGCTTAAAGATTCAATGTAGGACAGTTGCACAGTGCATGGCAGGTGGTCAGCATCAACGATAATGACAATGACATTCAACCACAGGCAAAAGCAATGTCCCACAATAGAAGTCAGAAGAGGGAATTCCCTGCTGGTCCAATGGTTAGGATTCCGTACTTTCACTGCCGTGGGCCCGGGTTCAATCCCTGGTGAGAGAACTAAGATCCTGCAAGCCGAGCAGCTCAGCCAAAAAAAAAAAGTCAGAAGAGTGGGCATCTCTGGGGGCTGAGGGAGCTTTCAAGGGAGCTGAGAAGTGTCTGCATCTTGATTCAGAGGGAGGTCACATAGGTTAAACAATCTAGGTGTACACCACAGATTATGCACATTATGTGTGTTATACTTTAATTTTTTTTTTTTTTTTTTTTTTTTTTCTGCTTCTAAAAGCGGAGCACAGGCTCCGGACGAGCAGGCCCAGCGGCCATGGCTCACGGGCCCAGCCGCTCCACGGCATGCGGGATCCCCCCAGACCGGGACACGAACCCGTATCCCCTGCATCGGCAGGCGGACTCTCAACCACTGCGCCACCAGGGAAGCCCTATACTTTAATTTTAAAAAAGAAAAGCCTTGGGACTTCCCTGGTGGCACAGTGGTTAAGACTCCACGCTCCCAATGCAGGGGGCCTGGATTCGATCCCTGGTCAGGGAACTAGATCCCACATGCATGCCGCAACTAAGAGTTCGCATGCCACAATTAAGGAGCCGGCGAGCCACAACTAACACCCGGTGTAACCAAATAAATAAATAAATAAATAAATAAATAAATAAGAAAAGGCTTTTACAAATCTGAACTCACTTGATTCTCACCTCAGCTTTGTGTTGTAAGTACGTGCTGTGTTTGTGCCCATTATACGGATGAGGACACTGAGACTCAGAGAGATGGAATCACTGGCCCAAGGACACCAGCTTGTCACTGATGAAGTTGGGACCTGAACCCCATCCTGTCTTCAAAACCTTTGCCCTACTGACAACAAGAATGTCCATTTAAGAGCATCAGTAATAGTAATAATACTTCTGTTCAGAGAGGCAATGCAGCTTAGTGCTGAAGAGCACGGATACTGCATCTGGTATTCAAATCTAGCCTCTCCCACTCCCTAGCTCTGCGCCTCAGTTTCCTCATCTGTAAAATGGGATCATAACAGTGTTTCCCTACTTCGCAGGGTTAACTGAATTGACTCTCGTAAGTGTGTAGAAGAGTGTTTGTGCATGTCGAGAGTTTGTCATTATTATTTTGTGTGTGTGAGGTTGTCTGGCCACGAGTGTCAAACTCTGTACACCCTGCACAGCGGCACAGGCTGCTACACCCACCTGGTCGCCAGGAGTGGCACAATCAGGATGGCAGGGGCCACGGCTGGGGAAGACGTCTGTACAGTCCTTCCCCACAGAACCACAACCCACCACAGCCACACAACCCACAGCCACACAGCTCAGGGGTGCTGCCTTCACCCTGGGGAGCAATCAGGCGATGTAACCACACCACCCAGTGTGTTGGGAAGTTTACTGCTTAAGGCTCTAAAGCCAGATTCCTTTGGGTCCAAATCTTGGCTTGGATATTATTTGCTGTGTGATTTAGAGTGAGCGTCTTAACCTCCCTGGGTCTCGGTTCCTGTCTCTGGAAAATGGGCTTCCAAGAGTCCCTCCCTGTCAAGGTGCGAGGTTTAATGAAATGATGCACGTGAACTGGCTTGCACATCCTGTCAACAGCTAACATTTTTTGAGTGCCAGCTGTGTCCCAAGCACCTTGCCAAGCACATTCCTGGATGAGCAAATTGCCTTCTTACCACCACCCTATGGGGTCAATTTCTTTTATCATTCCCATTTTACAGATGAGGTAACAGAGGCCCAGATTCAGCAGCTTGCCCAAAGTCACACAGCCCCCATGTGGGGAGACAACAGCACTGCAAGGCCTGGGGAGGAAATGAGCAGATGGTGGGTAGCAGGATGGTGGGGAGTAGGTCTCCATGCCTGATCTCTGACCCACAGTGACTGACCAGAAAGGGAACCTCTTCTGGGACAAAGGGGACGTGGGTGCAGACAGTCAGGCTCCCCCTGCCCACTCCACTTCTCTTTTCCCTGGGACGGCTGTGACCTCGCACTTGAACACTTAGCCCATGCACAGCAGGAAGTGAGACCTGGAGAGGGAAGAGGGCACACTTCTGCTTTCTTGGGGACACTGGATGGATGTGGGTTGTGGGTACAGTTGGTGCCTGACCTGGCATTTGAGGTCTTCCCAAATCAGCCTGGCCTCTGGGATTGAAATGGTTTTATCCTTTTTAGCCATTGGGGAAGGCAGGTCACTTCCCCTGTCTGCGCCTCAGTTTCTTATCTTGCAAATGGGAAGATGAACAGCCACTACTTTCTGGGGTTAAAATGGCAAGTGAATGTGAGGTTGTCTCCAGGGCCAGGGTCTTTCTTATAAGAAAGGCAGGTCCCGTTTAATCAAGCACCGGCTCTAAATGGTCTGTAGGAGGTCAGGAGTGCCCTTTGGGTTTGACGAGACAAGGGCTCGAATCCCATATCTGCCACTTCCTGTCTGTGACTTTGGGCAAGTTGCTTAACTACCCTGAGCCTTAGTTTCTTCATCTGGAAAATGGGTCTATCCATAGACCCTACTTCACAAACACTTGAGGGGCTGTGTGAATAGCTGTAACGCAAGGCGCAGCACATAGGTGACATTCAATAAAAGTTGGTCATTTTCCATTATTGTCACCTCCCATCACAGACACTGTCCCACCCTCACTTAAACTCTCAAATCTCAGAGAACTTCAGGCCAGAACTGGATCTCATATTCAGAGATGTGTGTTGCTTTGTTTTTCTTATTCTAGAGTAGGAACAACTTCGGTGCCGAAGGCTGGGTCTAGCTCATCTCAATTGTTAGGTATTCTTCCAGGAAACATTCCCTAGTTGATGTCTGGCCCTGTGCTGGGCAATAAATAATAGGGACCCAGTGGTGGCTAAACCAGGCCAGCCCTGCCCTCCCAGAGCTCACAGTCCAGGGGGAGACAGACTCACCCCCAGACAGTGACAACCCAGGGTGGTCAGGGCTGGGACGGGAGAATACAGGGCTGTGGGTACCCAGTGATGACTCGGCTCTGCTGTCTCAGGGTTCCCATTCCAGCTAGAGTCAATATCACTGACACTGAAAAAATGAAAACAGCCAATAGTGGTTTTTTTTTTTTGGCAGTGCCACATGGCTTGCCGGATCTTAGTTCCCCAACCAGGGGTTAAACCCACACCCTCGGCAGTGAAAGCACAGAGTCCTAACCGCTGGACCACCAGGGAATTCCCAAAAGCAGCCAATAGTTTATTACACATTTCCAAAGGTCCAGATACTATTTTAAGTTTGCTAATTGCATTCACTCATTGAATCCCCACAGCCAGTCTATCAGGTAGGTACCACCATTATGCCCATTTTATAGATGAGAGAACTGAGACCCAGGGAGGTTGTGTCACCTGCCCAAGCTCATGCGGCCAGCAGCTGGTGGAGTCAGGATTTGAAGCCAGGACATCTGGCTTAACCCAAGGCCCTACTGCTTCTCAACACACGAATGGGTGGGAAGGGCTGGTTTCCCAGGGAGAGGATGAGGGCCTGTGGCTGTGGATGGAAGGAGGGCTGAGACGGAGGTGAGGAAAGCCTGAGGTCTCACCTGCAGCGTGCAGTGGGTGAGGGGATAAATGCCGCTCAGGCCTGGGGTCCAAGCCACCTCCAGCTCCGTCGGCTGGCTGGAAACCAAGTGGAGGTTGCAGGGCCGCTGGGGGAGCACTGTGGACAGAGGAGGGGAGGAGCTGACCCCTTGCCCAAAGCTCCCCACCCTGCCCTTAACCCCAGCTCTGACCTTTGACCCCAACCCCCCACCCTCTGACACCCAGCTCTCCAGCTCCCTCTCCTGTCACCTGTAATGGTGGCCATGCGGGATGTGGTGACCCCCTTGGCGTTATGGGCTTCACAGGAGAAAGAAGCAGTCTTGTTCAGGCCTGGGGAGTCATATGAGGGAAGGGTTCAGTCAGAAAGGGGAAGGAGGGGCTCCCGGGCCACGCTGAGCATCCCTTCCACCACGCCCTACCTGACAGGGTCAGTCTAGCACCCAGGGGCACCTGCTTGAAGGGAGATTGTGGGAAAGGGAGATAATGCATTGGGAACACAGGCTCCATCCCCAAACACAAGGCCAGCTAACAACCCACCCCACAGACACCCACACAGATAGAGACACATGCACACGTACACACACAGACACATACACTCAGAACCACATACATAGACACACACAGGGACACACACTCACACACACGCTTATGCACAGAGATACACATACATACACAGATATACAGACACACAGAAGCACTCATACTCACACATAGACACACCAGACGCACGCACCAGCACACACAGTTATACACACAGACGCACACAGAAACACACACTCACATACAGAAACGCACATACTCGGGGACTTCCCTGGTGGCGCAGTGGTTAAGAATCTGCCTGCCAACACAGGGAACACGGGTTCCATCCCTGGTCCGGGAAGATCCTACATGCCGCAGAGCAACTAAGCTCGGGCGCCACATTTACTGAGCCTGTGCTCTAGAGCCCGCGAGCCACAACTACTAAAGCCTGCATGCCATAACTACTGAAGCCTGCGCACCTAGAGCCTGTGCTCTGCAACAAGAGAAGCCACCGCAGTGAGAAGCCCGCTCACCGCATCGAAGAGTAGCCCCTGCTCGCTGCAACTAGAGAAAGCCTGCGCGCAACAATGAAGAACCAACGCAGCCAAAAATAAATAAATAAACAATAAATTAATTTAAAAAAAAAACAAGGTAATCAAAAAAAAAAAAAGAAACGCACATACTCATACCTAGACACACATAAACACACAGACGTACACACACTCATATATACACACAAGAATAGACACAATCACACTGAGCCACACAGACACCTGTCTCGAGGCATACACATCTAATAGATACACACTTAAGAAACAGGCCCTCATGGGGGTGTGGAAACGTAGAGGTGTTTGCTCATTGACAAGCTTGGCTACTACCAAACCCTCTCCCCCGCACTCACTCACTCTAGCTCCACTGGCCTCCTGATGTTTCTAGAAGGTACTATGCATGCTCCCACCTCGGGAAGTCTGCACTTCCATTCCCTCTGCTTGGAACAGCATTCCCACAGACATCCACGTGGCTCCCTCCTGCCCACCTTCACATTTGTTACTCAGATTCTACCTTCCAGTCGCCTCTGTCCCCAACCACCTTGTTGAAAATTGGAACCTCCCCTCCACAACTAGCCTCTTCCCTGCTTTACTTTCTCTTTGATTCTTCTCATCACAGCATCCTTTACACAGTCCTGTGTATCCTGTTCACTGTGTGTTGACCCCACTAGCATGTCAGCCCAGGAGGGTAGGGGTTTCTGTCTGTTTTGCCCCCTCCTGTATCGCCCCTGGGGCCTAAGATGGCCTGGCACACAGTAGGTTCTCCATAAATGTTTGTTGAATGAGTGGATGAATTTATGTGGATACATTTATGTACTTATGAGCACTTCCGGGTGTGTACGTAGCCATGTGAGCATGTGTAATTCCGTGGGTGAGTTCGTGTGTTTTTGAGTGTCTGGGGGTGGATTGCCTCCCCTTTCCCAGTGTGGTGGTGGTGGGAACACAGGCAGATACACACACATGCACGCACACAAAGGCACGTACAAGTACACAGACAAACACAAGAGACGCAGACACACAAACACGGAGAGATACACAACACACAGAGCTATACAACATACACAGATTCACACACACGGCAACAGAGACACGCACACCCACAATGTCTGGGTGATAGGATGTAAGGAGGACCAAGTCTTCAATCTATGTGTGACTGCAGATCTGTATCTGCCTGTGTTTCTCTGCGTGCCTATGGATGCTATACGCGTGCGTGTGTCTCCTGCGTTTGTTCTGCGCTGTGCTGTGTTCCCACCACCACCAGCTACCCGCAGACACAAAGTTTCCTTTTCTCAGTTAGCAGAGGGAGTAGAAGGAGGGAAAGGCGGCAAGGCCAGAAGGGGGTGGGCAGGGAAGTTCCCCAGCTCCGCTGCCCAGGCCGCAGTTCCCAGCCAAGGTCAGGTGCCCGGCCCGCAGCCTCTGCTGCCCCGGGGAGGCACAGGACAGGCCCGGGCGAGTTGCCCGAGGGGGCGGGGAACCTGGGTCCCGTCCAGCCACCTGGCACGTGGGGGTCCGCCAGGGTCACCGCGCGGGAGCCCGCGCTGCCCGCCGCCGTTGGAGCCCTGGGGCGGGAGGGGGGTCTGGAGCCCGGTCCAGTTCCGACCGCAGC